GATAGATAGATAGATAATATTTAGATATATATATATGAAACGCCAAATTGGAGTCAAATGGGCGAATCATCACGTGAGGTCACCCTATCCCAGTAGCGTACCTTTCCCAAATGCACACCGGCAAGAACTCCCCGATGCCCACCCCCCCCCCCAAACAACCCACACACATAATTTATGTCATGTCTTTATATAAACTCATAAAGTGCCACCCGGCGCTTTCACCCCCTCCCCATTTTTAAACCCACTTAGGTACGCCACTGCCCAGTTCTAAAAGTCCCCCACAACGGCGGCCCATTATCCTTGTCTTATATTCCAGATCTCGGTCACCCAGCATGGCAGAGAAAGACAGCGTCAAGGAATACTACGGGCGCATCCTAACATCGACGGAAGACCTCAAGGCCACAGCTGTCGTGCAGTGTTCTAGAAAAACCGAGAAACTCCCCAAGTTTATAACTGACGCCCTCGGCCTTGTTCACGAAGACATCTCTAGCCGGTAATTAAGATAACATTGCGAAATCTAGTGCTTTTTTTCGAAACAACATATTTACCTAACACTTCTCCATAATTATTTCTATCAACAGATTGTCCGAAGAAGTGCTAAAATAATAATATTTCGGAACTGTAATATGTGTAGCCTATCCTTGGCAGGGAGGTCATATTATTTACTGAAGCCTATCCTTGGCAGGGAGGTCATAAAATTTACTAAAGCCTACCATTGCAGGGATGTCATACTATTTACTAGAAGCCTACCATTGGCACGGAGGTCATACTATTTACTAAAGCCTACCCTTGGAAGGGAGGTCATACTATTTACTAAAGCCTACCCTTGGAAGGGAGGTCATACTATTTACTAAAGCCTACCCTTGCAGGGAGGTCATACTATTTACTAGAAGCCTACCATTGGCAGGGAGGTCATACTATTTACTAAAGCCTACCCTTAGCAGGGAGGTCATACTATTTACTAAAGCCTACCCTTAGCAGGGAGGTCATACTATGTACTAAAGCTTACCCTTAGCAGGGAGGTCATACTATTTACTAAAGCCTACCCTTAGCAGGGAGGTCATACTATTTACTAAAGCCTACCCTTAGCAGGGAGGTCATACTATTTACTAAAGCCTACCCTTAGCAGGGAGGTCATACTAAGTACTAAAGCCTACCATTACCAGGGAGGTCATACTATTTACTAAAGCCTACCCTTAGCAGGGAGGTCATACTATGTACTAAAGCCTACCATTGACAGGGGGGGTCATTATATTTACTAAAGCCTAACATTGACAGGGAGGTCATACTATTTACTAAGGTATTTTTATAGAACTATTTCAAGTTGAATAACTTTTTAAAGACCTTTTTTTAAAAAAAATTGTTAATTGCGTTCATGACATGATTTGTTTGATTGACATAACAGCGCTTACGGTTGTGCCACTGCCTACCCCGAGGTCCTGGAGGGGGTCAACATCCTTGACCTTGGATCTGGATGTGGACGGGATTGCTTTGTGCTCAGCAACCTAGTTGGGGCGAATGGCCAAGTTGTGGGACTCGACATGACAGATGAGCTGGTGAGGTGCCCGCTGACTTACAAAATGCCGAGCAGTTACAGTCTGTCCTCTTTATCAGTCTGTCCTATATTTAGTTTAACTCAGTGGCGTAACTAGAGTAAGTGCCGCCCGGGGTGGGCCAATAATTTATCCGCCTCTTCCACGAAAAAAAACAAACAAAACAACAGCTTCCTGTAAGGTGTAGGACTGTCTGTAGGCCTATTGACTAAATAAAATGAGAAGTGAACTCATTTTTTTAAACACATGGACCCACCGGGTACTTTCTCGGGTACTTTCTCGGGTACTTTCTCGGGTACTTTCTCAAAATACCCGGACCCGGTTTAAAAAAACAAAACAACTGCACTCAAGTGACCCCTGGTATTGAAACGATTTGTTGATTTGAAAATTGTTTAAATCATGAAAATGCCACTCCGCATTTTTTCAATGTTCAGTCCAGAATTAGTGCCATGTGTGCCTTACTCGTCTCACTCTTCAGTCATGCCGTTGTGACTCGTATGCAGTGTTGAAAGGATTTAGTTTAAACAACTTGACGAAGTTGATGGCTTTAAATGTAATTTCTTGATTTCAGTTGAAACTGGCCACCGACAAAATCGCGTACCACACAGAGAAATATGGATACCCTACCGCTAATGTCAAGTTTGTGAAAGGTTACATGGAAAAAATGGCTGATGCCGGATTAAAGGATGGCTTCTTCGATGTTATTGTGTACGTTTTATTAGATTATATATTCCTGATTATAATATAAAGGGGGTGGGTTGGGAGGGAGGGAGGGTTACACAGTCCCGGGGGGTGGAAGAATATACTACCCCCTTTGCCAGTATTTCACAATCCTTTTTTTGCCGCCCCCCCCCCCCCCCCCCCCCCCCCCCCCCCCTGGGTTACCCAGTCCCGGGGGGTGGAAGAATATACTACCCCCTTTGCCAGTATTTCACAATCCTTTTTTTGCCGCCCCCCCCTTCCCCCCTTCCCCCCCCCCCTTCTTTTTAAATAATGACCTTACACGATTTAATGCCCCCTCTTTAGTGGATGAACTTTCAAAACAGAAAAATCTCCCTGTTTCTACCAGGAAAATAAGAATTTCCAATTCGAGATATATACTCCCCCCCCCCACACACACACTTCCCCTGTCCTGCACCCCTACAATCTCAAGGGTCACAAACCTCTAAACACTACAGCACGACTCTCGCAAACAGACATTTTAGAATCACGCGTATAATTCAAATCAGCACCAACTGGGAATGTTACTCTACGCTCTGGTGTGTTGCTAAATGTCACTCTACGCACTGGTGTGATGCATGTCATTCTACGCACTGGTGTGTTGCTAAATGTCATTCTACGCTCTGGTGTGTTGCTAAATGTCATTCTACGCACTGCTGTGCTGCATGACATTCTACGCACTGGTGTGTTGCCAAATGTCCTTTTACGCACTGGTGTGCTGCTAAATGTCATTCTACGCCCTGGTGTGCTGCTAAATTTCATTCTACGCTCTGCTGTGCTGCATGTCATTCTAGGCACTGGTGTGTTGCTAAATGTCCTTTAACGCGCTGGTGTGCTGCATGACCTTCTACGCTTTCCCGAGCGTTGCTAAATAAATAAATACTTTTAAAAAAAAAAAAAAAAAGCTCTGTAAGGCTCAACTCTGTTTTGTTTTCCTTTGAAATCTTCGAAATCTCTCGAGATCGTTTCAGTGTTAGCCTCTTCACTTGCAAGCTAGACGTTTCGCGATTGATTACAAGCACGCACAGGTCATTAATTCATTGTTTTCTTACATTTGCTACCAGATCCAACTGTGTGATCAGTTTGTGCCGGGATAAGAGAGCCGTGCTGAGAGAAGCATTCAGAGTTCTAAAGGTTTTCAAAATATTTGCGTGCGTGTGTGTTTGTGTGTGTGTGTGTGTGTGCGTGTGTGCATGCTTGCGTGCGTGTGTGTGTGTGTGTGTGTGAAAGAGAATGTGTGAAACATAATTTAAAAAAAAAAAAACAACAACAACACAACAAGCCATGGTTTGAGCCTCTTGAAGTTTCAAGTTGGACATAATTACCGAAACATAAACAATTGGTGTAAATAAAACGGGGGGGGGGGG